TCCACAGGCACTGGTCCTAAGTACTTTAAGGTAAAGGGAAACACACCACAGCATCATAGTCTGGGACTGAGGGCGAACAAAAAGCCAGGCCTCAAGATGGAGACCTGCTGGACAAGGCTGGGGCCCTGGGGCCTGATGAACAAGGGTGCCCTGTTAAGTTAGTGGGATCCTCCTGTCCAGGACTGCGATAAAAACAAGGTAACAGATAACCAGCACCACCAAGCCTCCACTATACCCCTCTGAAGAGTGCCTTTGTTCCGCTTGTGATGATTTTAGAACAGTTATAATTAATGGTGCTTGCAAAACTCTGCTTACCCCTGAGGTCCCATTGGCCCACTTCTGGTCAGACTTTCCTGCTTGTAACCCCATAGGCTGGCCCCTACTTGGCCCAGACCAGTCAGAGAAGTAGTCATTTTTGTGTATAAAATACCCTAAATAAAGACATCCTGTGGCAAGGATGGGTCCCCTCTCGGTATTGGGAGCTTTCCAATTTTTCTCTGCAATAAATATTTTTCTCTTGACTTTCTGCCTTGTAATTCTTTCTGGGTTGAGAGAAGAATCCACTAGCCAGATGGCAGCAATATGCACAGCTGATAAATGCTGGATTAACTGAAGGGGCTATGATGCCTCAGAAGGAGCAGTACCCTCTCTAAGATGCTTAGAAAAACGTGAGCTGTTATTGCAGAAATTTCATAAATATCAACTTAGCTTTGTAGATACCCAACAATATTCCAGTTCTGCCAGTAAAGGAAACTTACACTAACAGATGTGGACTGGTTCAAGATTTGAGAGCTTCTTATAACCTTGTGCACATGGCAGGATTCTGCTGCACTTGGGTTTCTACCTTTGGATTTAAGGGTTAAACCTCTTTATGGAGACTCAAAAGGGCTGGGCCCAGAGCCCTTGCATAGGACTGCTGAGTACCAACAAGTATTTGACACTGAAAACTAACATCCGTGCCAACCTTGTGGTTTCCCATCCCTTGAAAATCTTGCAAGTTGTTTGTAAGCCTTGAGGAACAGAGCAGAGGTTTGGGACAGTCATTCAAATGTTCAGAGAATGATCTCAACTGATAGATTGTTTCTTCAAACAGCTGGAATGCAGAGGATCGCCATCCCCTCTCTGAGCAGTCACAGTCACGGGTGACATTCTGCAAGGGGTGAAAAAGTTCACCTGCTTCATCAGGTATTGACTTTATTACAACAAAATGAAGCCATTGGTGGACAGAAAAGCAATGGGCAAGAATCCAGCTATTTTACTGGACAATCCAAATGTTATCTTGAAAAGCGCGACAGGCAGAAATCCAGCTATTGGGTCTCAATAACTGAAACTGACTCTGACTTGGACTATAACTGCTTAAACATTCTCAGCCTGTTCAAGCAGACTGGGTTCATCAGGTCAACCATGACAGCTTACGATTGGAAACTCATATGTGAGTGTAGCTTCTTACAAGGACGATGATTTGGAGCTGGTGTGCTGTGATGGTGCTGGATAAGGTAAGAGACGCTGATTCTCTCCCGGTTCTGTACAAAAAGCTGAACTGCACTTACTAGAGCTTTACATCTTTCACAAGGGAAGTGAGTATGCATCTATGCTGCTTCCAATTATGGATTTATGAGAGTATGTGCTCTAGAACTACTTGGAAAGAAAGAGGGTTATTCAAGAAATCAAGACATCAAACGTCTGATGGAAATTCTGGCTCTACTTGAAACAGTTGCTTTACTACACTAAGGAATGGTTGTGTACTATCCCTTACACCAACGGGGTGATTCCACATGGCTGGAGGGAATCAGAAAGCTGAAGGAGCTGATAAACAAGCTGTTAGGGAGAAGGGGCTTATTAGGGCTTTGACATCCTGTTTGGTCTTGTCTAAGTTTAAACCTTGTTACATGGTGAAGGATGAAGAACATGCCCGAGAATGGGTCTTTACTCTACAGACATTCACCATGGAAACTAATAACCACAGGACAATTTTACACCATGAATCCTTGGAGTGTCCAATTTTCAAACATCTACACAAATGGTCACATCTGGGCAAGGATGTATTAACAGGTTTATTACAGCCTTACCTGAAAGGTCTGTATCTTCAAAAGACTACTCAAAGGATTGCACAAGTGGATGCCATTTATGTGCTAAAATGAACCCAACTGAACAGAATGGATAAAGAGATGTGGTATTTTTATACAATGGTGTACTACTCAGCTATAAAGAAGGTGAATTTGAGGAGTTTATAGGTAAATGGATGCAGCTAGAGTCCATACTCATAAGTGAAATAAATCAGACTCATGTGTAAACATCGTATTGTCTCCCTAGTGTAAGAAACTGAGAGAGTAAATAAGATCCAAAAGATACAATAGATACTGTGAAAGGGAAAGAAACTGCTCAAAAGGGAAGAACACTGGGATGGGGAAAAGGAGAAAAGAAGGAAGGGAAGAAATATATGTGACACAAGATGGGTAAGATAATTGTACTACTAATTTCTATTAGTTCACTGAAAGGAACAGTTAGTGCTTATATTGTTTGATCAATTTTCCATGCCTGTATCGGGTAATCTGAGCAACTGCTCTGAAGATAACAATATGCAGTTAATAACTGTTGTTAATTTCCTGTCATCTTATTTTGAAATCCTGTATGGTTTTGCTTTTGTTTCCACTTTAAAATAAAATTTTAGGGGCTGGGGATTTAGCTCAGTGGCAAAAGCGCCTGCCTGGCAAGCGCAAGGTCGTGAGTTCGGTTCCCGGTACCGGAGAAAAACCAAAAAAAAAAAAAATAAAATTTTAAAAAAGGGGTAGAGTGTAAAGGTACATGTCTATTGATGACTGGCAAGTAGATCGGTTAACTTAATTTTTTAATATTTGTGTGCACTTTGGCTGGATAGAAGTATATTCTGTTAAAACTAAGAAGACAATTGACATGACTAAATATTTGCACAGAGAAATTATTCCCAGATTTGGAGTACTGGAGTTTATTTAAAATTAACATGGGCCATCATTTGTTTATACTCACCTAAAAGATGAGCAAACCTTTACAAATAACCTGGAAACTGCAACATTCTAGAGAATGAACTCCAAAGAAATAGCAGAAAACATGAATCATACCTGAAAGGACTCTGGCGAAACTTTGTCAACAGACCCGTTTAAAGAGGGACAAGGCTTTGCCCAGTGTATGGCTCTGAATTACGGTAAATCCCAAAACTGGTTTTAAATTAAGTCTTTTAAAAATTGTGCATGGCAAACACTTTGTCGTGTTTTTGTTAGGTGACTCATCTTTTAAATTAGGAAATCAAGCTGAGATTTACAAATATGTGCAGCAATTAGATCCGACATAACTGCCTTGTATCAGCTTGCTCTTTCCAGGTTTGCCCACCCGGGGGATGTGCCACCCCACCCTTTCTTTCCTGCTGACTAGCTCAAAGTAGTCTTGGATATATCACTCTAGAGTGAACAAGATCCACAAGTGGGACATACTTCTGGTTCCCTTTCAGACCCTGCCTGGACCTGCACCTTAGGCAGAATCTCAAATATTTATTCAAAAAGACAAGTAACTAAATTGGAATTATGAGGATATGAATCTCTGGACTCTTTGGCCAAAATAGCGTCATATATCTGGGCGTGGTGGTGCATAATTGTAACTCCAGCATTCTGGGAGGCTGAGGTAGGAGAATTACAAGGTAAAGACCAATGTGGGCAATTTAGTGAGACTTTGTCTCAAAATAAAAAATTTTTATGCCAGGCTTGGTGGCATGTGCCTGTAATCCCAGCACTCAGGATGCTGAGGCAGGAGGATTGCCATGAGTTCAAGGCCAGCCTGGGCTACATAGTGAGTTTAAGGCCAGCCTATACTAAATAAAAAGACCCTGTTTCAAAAAAAATTTTTTTTGTAAGATCTAGGGATGAAGCTCTTCGTGAAGACCCTGGGCTCAATCCTCAGGACTGCAAAAGAAAAAAACTGGTATTAGGTGGTAGAATGGCCTTAGATAATGTCTTGGCTGGACATAGACTATTTGTTTAATTGTTAATGCATCCTGCTACTTGTACAGTAAATACTTCATCCCAAGTAGAAATAAGCATTGATAAAATTAGACCAAAAAAAGACAAATTCAATTCCTTTTTCTAAGGAACTGACTCCAGGAAACAGACCTATCGTTGCAGGTATTTTAAAATTAGGGTTAACACTCATAATGATGAGTCTATTTAGGGTTTAAAAGAATCATATTATGCATACAAAAATTACAGTGAAAAATGCCTTTGACCACCTCTTCCCTACAGAGAAAACAAGGGAATTAAAAAGTATGCATTTCGCTGTGTCAAGGCCAATACAAAAACCCCAGCATTCGCTCCCATTTGCCAGGAAGTAACTAGAATATGATCAACACTCGGCTTCCCAAATGGAAGGATAATCTGCGGCAGGGAACGGTAACAGTGGCATAAGCCCGCGAGTTGCCTTCAGCAGAGTTACTTTCACAGGCCCTTCCTTTTCCCTTCCGTAAAGCTGCTTCCTCTCCCTAGTGCTTTAGCCATCCCCTATCGTTTGTTCAGCACCCTAAAGCGAAGCTCAGCCTGAATGGTTAAGGTGTTAACTACTAAACAATCTTTCTTTAGAATTACAGAATCTTGAACATCAAATGATCTTCAGATAATAGCAGAACATGTGATGTTCTTTCTTGTTCCTCTGTCTTGTCACTCGACTAAAACAAAGCGTGCAAACAGCTGTGTGGTTTAACGTGGAGAAAATGTCTAGAAAATAACCAGAGGAACTAACCCAAGGTGCTTGGGTCCAGCACCTTGGGTCCAAGGTGCTTGGGATGTTCCAGAGAATTAAAAGACACAGGCCGAGGATGCTATAAACTTTCACAGCACATAAACTTAATGCCCCGTTCCTCTTTTCTCTCCATATTAAAGCCAATTTGTACCTCTGAGCTCCCCAAGCTAGAGCCTAGAGGACAATAGCCCCCTCTCCATCTTCCAAGTTATTTGCCCCTGAATAAATCTAATTCCATATTAATTTCTGAGTCATGATTATTTGCTTTTGAGTGATGAGAAGCCCAACTGTCTCAGTAGTTTCAAAATTATGATATTCCAACTGTCTCAGTCGTTTCAAAATTATGATGTTAATGTCAAGGACAAAAATCATTTGTGAGTTACAAGAGGATGTCATCTATTTGATATCGTTTGCCTCATTGATGGCATCATTTGCTTCCTCACTGATGGCAGCACTTGCTCGCTCAATGTTGGCATCCCTTGCCCCCTCTCCGATGAGTAACTCTGCCTCATCAAGTTGCTCTGTGACTGCTGGCTCTGGCTTTGCTATCTTTATAGACTTCTTTCTCACAAGTGAAGGGGTGGAAACCAAATACATGCTGCTCGCTGCACTTTTGGAGAAAGATGTATCTGATACACCCTGTGATGGCTCAAAGTATGAAAGGACGGCCAGCTCTGGGTTGATGGAGTATTGACTCTGATCTCTTTTGCGACTGAAAAAGAAAACATAGATAAGGAATTGTTTATAGTTTGGGTACATTTGTAGCTCAACTTAGAAAAGTCTTCACAAAAATTAAAATATAAATGAATTTTGTCAGTGTTATTACTTGATAACATTACATAAATGATGCAGGATTCTTCAAATTACAATTTTATTGTAATAAGGTTTGTGCGGATGGAGCAAGTTGTAGCTCTCAAGACTATAATTTAGAAACCAATTTACTAAAACAGTAAAGATTGCTGTAATAAAAGTTTAGTAGGAAATGAACTATAATTTGAGGAAATAAATACCTAGGAGTAGTTGTAAAGAATCAGAAATATATCATTCATGAAAAACACCATAGCCAAAAAATGTAATTAATCACGACTGTGAACCTTAGGCAATTTTGCTAGAATTCTCTAAAGTAATTTCTAACTTAAAAGTAATTTCTAAGAAATTTTAAATAAACAAGTCCCTCATTCAGGTTTGATTTGAACTTAATATTTTGTTTTTAAAAAAGATCAAATGGATAGTCTTGAAGGTATACGTGTGATGGAGATTTACTGTTTTTTGAAGGTCCCAGGCAAGGCTTGCTTGAATGAGAAGTGTTAGACATTAACCAGATAGGCTATTCAGAAGAGAATATATAGTCCCTCTGCTCCAAGGCTATAAACAACCGTTCTCTAGATCATCTATGTATGTTCCAATTGACCATGATTATTTCTAACTATAGGTGACTTTAAATTATTGGAGGAAAGTTCAAGAGGAATGAATAGTCACTGAGAGATGGCTCCATCTCCTTCTGAGAAGGAGAAATGGAATAAAACTGAATGTGTTCAACTATATGGGAGTCACATTTTCCTAACAGTTTACTGAGGCAGGTGGGGGTCGGCTGTCCACCATGCATTAATTGTAACGATTGCGGGTGGTGGTAGGCTTACCTCAGCTGCTTCAGTCTGTGCAGTGTGATAATGCAGAATATCACAAGGGGAATAAAAATGAGGATGGTCATCAGCGCGATGCCCAGCATTAATCTGAGCTTGAGCTCTTCTAGGTTTGCTAGTTTGTCTCCAGCACTTGAATCGTTCATATCAGAGCCTGAGACGAAAGAAAGAAGAGGCCATTGAAACGGTGTGTCCCGCGCGCTTCCTGGGGGAATAGGGATCGCAGAGCTACTCTGCAGAGCGTCGCAGGATTCACTGCTCTCTCTCCCACACCCAAGGCGAGGACAGGAGGAGGCCACCGCCAGGGCTGGGGCTCTTTCCTCTTCAAGCTTCCTGCCAACCTTGGAGCAGCTGTCCACGGCTGTATGCTACAGGGTCGCAGAGGTTTATGGATTTTCCCCTGAGACACAACAAATAAGTAGCAAGATCTGATTTTGGACCTCGGTTACCAAGTGCCAAAATATGTATGTAGCAGACGTCTCCCTAGACCCCAGTTTAAGTAATCTGTCATCTGAAGAGATTTTGATTACTTTTCAGACAAGGAAAGAGTCCTGCAGGAGAGAAAGGTCCGTGCTTTATGGGTGCAGGTGCCGGTTTCCTCTAAAGCTGAAAGTATGGTGTGCTGAGGCCGATGCCGTGAATCGGAAGAGCTAAATTTGACTTTTTATTACTGAGGAGTTTAAACCCAGTGTGCCAGACTTTACAAAAAAAGAGGAAGGAATTTGTTAAGCTTTCTAGAGCGAATAACAAAATCATGTCCAAAATAAAGCTTGCTTTTAAAAGACTGCCTTGTACACGTTGCCCTCTTGTCTATTCGGCTTACCTGTTTTGGGAATAGAAGCTATGAAAGAAGATGATAGTAGTCACCTGCAAAATGGTAACTGGAGAATGCTCAGGACAAAATGAAAGATAGATAATAGGGAAAAAGGGGATAGATCTTCTGTAAAAGGGAAAAAGATCAAGAGATGGAGGGACAGGAGAAGGAGTGGGGGGTGCGAAGAGGGTGAAAAAAAATGTACCATGTACATGTAGCAACTCCTCACCAAGAAAGTGATCACTACCTGGTTGGAACATGTACTAATTAAAAAACATCTAAAGCAACACGTACCAATTCCACATGATGAATGTAGTCATTATGTACTGCAGACATGTATTAACAAAAAAATAACTGAAACAGAAGAGTGCTCAGGAACTGTGACTCTCCTATAATAGTAAATGTCCCTCTGATACAATGTTGACCCTCCCATGTTCACTACCGTGAGCTAGGGAAAATGGTATCACCTCGCAGCCATGAAAATGTGAGTATTATGACTCTGTTCATTGAAGTGACTTACTCTTACCTGGAACTGGTTGAAATAATTGATCTTTGTCATCCATGCTCACTGTCGTTCCATTTATAGCTGTTAAAACAATAAATTTGTGTTATGGAAAACAGCCACCTGCTGAAATGATCACTTATGTATAAAGATGTGTGATAATATGGTCAGTTTGTCCTCATTATTCCTGACGGTTGTGTGTTCAGTATGGCAGAGAGCACTATAATTTAAGCCTGAATGAAGCTTATCTAGCACATGGACTTTCTCCATATGGTGCATTACAGGCTTCTTGCATACAGGAATATTTACTATGATACTTGGGGGCCAGACCAAGGTTTGACTGTACGTGTCACGCACAAAAATTTTGTGAATCCCTGCCAGTGCTCACAAATGACCTTGAAGTTGTTTTAAGTATTGATTTTTAGGTGACAGCAATCTTAATGAGTAGGTGGTACCGAATACAAGGACAGTATATGCATACAATGAGGAATGACTAAATATCATATATATTTCACGTTTATTATATATGTGATCCATGCAATACATTTATATGTAAGCACCTCCCTAAGTGTATGTTTATATAAACATGTATAGATTGATATGTACCTTGTATTATATATGCATGGATATATACATATATATTACTTTTATGCAGGTATATATTTGATATATAATTTGCATTCATATATGCCTCCCTGTGTTTTTATGTTTACATTGTTCCAAACACAAAATGGAACTTTACTAGGCAAGAATAGTCAGTTTTTGTGGTGGTGCTGGGGATTGAACCCGGGGCTTTGCACATGCTAGGCAAGCACTCTACCATCAAGCTACATCCCCAGCCCTAACAATAGTCTTATTTAAAGCTTTTAATCATAAATTGAGTGACTAGATTTTAACATTTGTAGGAGAATAAAAATTATTTTGTGAAGGAGAATAAAAAGTGTGATTTCAGTGCCTCTCTGGTTTTTGCTGCTACATGTGGCAACCAAACCATCACTTACTGATTCTTAGTATTAGAAGTATCAGAACTGACCTTAGCTTCCTTAAGTAAGATTTTAGAAAACCAAAACATTTCCCCAGCTATTTAACTGTATATTTACCTTTCGCTAACATTGTCCAAAATGCAGGCACATTTGGGGTTGTTCCTGTTTAAAAAAAAAAGAAAATTAAGACTTCATTTTCTTTAAAAAAGAAAACAAACTACTTCACTCAAGCCATTAGGGAAGCCGTCATGGGTTGTTGGGGTTTCATAATTATTTTATAAGGAATAATATTTTTGCAGGAAAATAAAATGGTGATGGCTATTCTGCAGGTTTCCATTCCCAGAACCCCTCCATGGAATAATCTCAGGAAACATGAATTATTGCCTTTAATCAGAGATACATTTATTCCTTAAACAGGTAGAAATTTTTGCATCAGTATCAAAATAAATTATATTTATAATATATTCAATCTAGTTACATTTCCAGCATACAAGTCATATATTTATATGAATAAACTTATATTTAAAATATATTATTTTATATATTTATAGAAGTATAATCACTTATAAGTATAACTTTATATAACACATTTATTAAAATAAATGTAAACTTTTAAAAAGCTCAGTTACTGTGCCTTGTCAGGTACTCCTAAAAATTCACTCTCAGACATTCACCACTTACAAGATTTTATAGTTACTTTAAAATATAGCAGTATAAACACTTTAAGCATACTATTTCTTTATGCCATGCACAGAGTAGTGACTCTTAAATTTTCAAGTCATATAATTATGTGGTTAAGAACGAATACATCAAAATAATTTTAATACTTTGCTTCTTTGCACGAAAGCCTTCATCTTCCTCCTCGAAATTTTTGTTTGCAAGCGTTGAACTAATTCTATCTATGAAAAGAGAGAAAGGATTATTAGCACATATAAATATGAAATGAATGTCTGAAAATAAGCATATTCTAAAGATAAAAATGGAAGGCAAGAGAGAAGAAATTAAAGGCAAAGGCTTTGACATCTTCTTGAGACAACAAAAAATGAGAAGGAAGTAGGCCAGGAAGAATAACATCTCTGTGATCGTGGGTTTCCTTGGGCGAGATTAAAGTTCCTAAATTGTAAAAGAGAAAAAGAGCAAGGTTCATGAGACCACAGGCCTACTGTAGAGGTGAGGGAGAGTAGTTAGCTTGGATGATTGGCTTTCCCAGGTTCCCTGCACAGGCCTTGAAATGAGATTCACATTACCAAGTGGCCTGGCTCTTGCTCAGTGTAAAGAAAGAGTTTGTTGATTGGGAAAGTGTTCTGAATGTAAACATTTTGGAATCAAATCAATGGATCCTATGGTTCTCAGTATCCCATACCCTCAGGGAGTTTTAGTGGTCTGCTTTGGAGCTCTGGCTGTCTCTGTCTTCTCCCACATAACTCAGAATGCTATTTACTGTACACAGCAAGATTCCCACAAAAGATGATCTAATTAATGTCTTCCCTGGAAATATCACTCATATTTGGAATTGTTCAAAATATTCCACTATGACCAAGTAGCTTTGTAATAACTAGGCAGTTAATGAGCTTGGCTTGTCCTGGTGTTAAAAGGAGACTAGAAATAGTCTGTCTTTCTTGTTCAAAGTTGAGTGTAAAACACAGGGCAAAAATGTGAATTTAAGAAACATTATAAGTTCCTAGACACTTATAATTTTTTCCATGCAAACCAAATATATGAGGGGTGGAAACACAAGACCTCCCCTGCCTTTTGAGTTGTCAGTGCAGTGGAATGGAGCCTGGGGGGTATGGTGCGGTAAACGGTGAAGAAAACCTAGAGGTTGACCCAGAACCAAGCTGGGCCTAGAGTCACAGGCTGGACCTGGGACATTTGTAGGCTTATTTAAGAGCTAAGGCTTCTTTCCTCCACAACCTCTCTGGTGCTGCTTTGAAGTCCTGCTTCAGGGGCTTTCACGTGTGCAATGGTGCCGACGATACTCACAGTTCCTTAGGGCAATATTCACATCTGTTCTTGCTCTCACGGATATTTCAGAGGTGGTGCCATTTGGATTTTGTGTGGTGAACACATCTAAAAAAAATCAGAAGTCTTGAATACCTAGTTAAATCAGTTGTCCGTTACCTTTTCATTCGTAGGATTTTTTTTTAAAGTATACTGAATGATCGTCCCCCCCAAATTATAAAAATATTTGATTCATTTCTCACACTTAAAGTGAGAAAGTGAGGGCAAGGGGTTATATTGAAAATTCCTGAGAAGAAAACCAAAATAATGGCTCTAAGCTCAATGAGTTAGAAACAATTTCTGAGGAAATTCACAAAAAGTGTGCAGGTCCATAACTGACACCAAAGTGGATTAGAGGATGTGCAATATTATCACTGATTGTCTCACATTACCAAAACACTAAGTAAGAACCTTCTGTTAGGCTGTGGAACCCTAGGTTAAGAGCTGTAGAGTTCAGTAATAAGGTTTGCCACACAGACTCACGTTAGCAGTTACACATAAAGAATTCTGCTCTTAGGAATTATCTGTGCGGTTGGTTGGAATTCAAAAGCTAGTGAACGTGCTCATCCACCCAAGGGGCCAAAGTAAACTGGGTCAAGATGGCAGAATGAAGCTCACATACATCTGTCTGTTACCTCTAGTTTCATGGAATGATAAAAAATTCTATATATGCATCAGTATATGAATAGGTACATGTTTAATATTTATACTTGTACTCATTTGCCTCAGCAACACACATGAAAAAGAAGGTGTCACTAATATTTAAATATTTTTGTGGAATTTTTGAGGTAAATCTTTGGAAAAAATGAAAGTAAACTACAATGTTCATGCTGTGACTTAAGGAAGTATAAAAATTAAAATACTGTGGTATTTTTGTAGAAAACGATCAGAAAAAGACAATAAACAGTACAATTGACTCAGCTTCATATGAGAATTTTACATTACATTAAATCTGAATATCACATAAAGAATCAGTTTTAGACAGTCAGCTACGGGCCAGGGGTGTAGCTCAGCGGCACAGCACCTGTCTGGCAAGCCCAAGGAACTGAGTTTGATTCCCACTACCAAAACAAAACAAAACAAAAAACAAAAATAGTCAGATATATTGGCTTGAAAAACATATTTTTATGCCATATAAAAACAAAATTTAAGACACAAGAGTCAAAGATAAAATAGTAAATTCTTACAAAAAGTGAGGAAAATAAATTAGTATCTTGGATTGGAAAAGTTCTGTCTAAGCAAGACATGAAATGCACAATACAAAAGAAATTAATCAATGGAATTGATTTCAGAAAACAGGAAATTAAAGACACTCAAGCAGGCTTAACTGTAAGCAAAAGGGTGGGAGAAAGCTCTTAATATACCTTAGAAAAAAATTAATAAGCCATATATAAAAATAGGGCAGGATTATGAACAGATAATTTGCAGATGTAGAAATAAAAATATCCAATAAATAACAAGAAAAATACCTTCAAAAGTATTACAGTGCAAGTGACAATATATTTCTCTTTTATCACACTCACAAAATATTCTGGTTGTATATATTTATTAGAGGTGAAGTTGTAGAGCATTTTTGTAGGATATAAATTGTGAAATAATTTTGGGAGGGCACTTCAATGGTTGTCTACCAATACTGCAAAAGATTTACCCCATCTTCAACAATTTCAGTAATTGATATCTAGCCTGAGAGATACACCCAAATGTGTATAAGAAAGGAATATATAGAGAAGAAATGCCAGTAATCTAAGTGTTCTCTAACGAGATAATAAATTAACATCATTTTATAGAACAGTATGTATCCATTAAAATAATGAGATAAGCTAGGCATGGTGGCACACAGCTATAAGCTAAATGCTCTGAGAGGCCGAGGCAGGAGGATTGCAAATTTGAGCCCAGCTAATGACTTAGCAAGACACTATCTCAAAGAAAAAGAAAGGAAAGAAAAAAGAGAAAAGCTAGGGATGTAGTTCATTGCAAAGGTCCAGTACTTAAAACATAAAAAGTAAGGTAAATATGAAAAGCGTTCCACTTATTAAATGAGAAAAATAAGTCCTTTGTATGAGTCCTTTCATGTGGGTGTATTAAGTATAAAATTGAACAAAACAATAAACATACAAGTTATGCATTATAGTTATCAAGCATGTGCGTGTATATGTCTATCCTTACTGTTTTCTATTTTTGATTGTTAATAAAGATTCCAGCAAAATTAAATGTCTCAATTTTAAGCCGAGATTCTCATGAACTTTTCACTTTTCAGAATGGTACTCTTGGTAAGGACATGGAAAAGAAGTCCGTATGAGGAATGGCGAGTTAAAAACTGAATTTTTAACGGACCTTCCAAATACATAGAAGTCGCACTGTTACAGGTTGAATTGTGTCCTCCTCCCAGAGACGCCTGTGTGGAAGTCCTAACGCCTGGGACCTCACATAGGACCTGACTTGGAAATAGAAACCACGCAAAGAGAGCGAGGCAGAGGCCAAGGCAATGCCGCCGCCGCCACACAAGGGGAACCTGGGGCTGCCAGAAGCCGGTGGAGGCAAGGAAGGATCTTCACCTCGCGCTGTGGGGAGAGGCTTTATTTGATCAACTAGAACTGACTTTGGACTTCCAGGCCTGGAGAACTGTGGAGAATAGATTTCCGTTGTTTTGAGCCTTTTAGTACTCATTGTGCACTTCGCTTTAGCAGACCCAGGAAACGCCTCCCCGACTTCAAATAAATACTTGTTAGCTCACTGAATTGAGCCGATTTTTTTTTTTTTTTTTTTTTCCTCCGGTACCGGGAACCGAACTCACGACCTTGCGCTTGCCAGGCAGGCGCTTTTGCCGCTGAGCTAAATCCCCAGCCCCGAGCCGATTTTTATTGTGAAGAAACAGCTACAGTGCTCTCTGGAACCATAGTGATTAGCAATGATTACCAACAGGACCTTGTTTAACTTCGTAACATCTCATGAGAAAAAGTGGTAGGAAATAAGGATTTCATTTTATACACTGAAAAGTTTTCAAGGTAAGTTAGAATTTATAATTAGAAAAATAATTATGAGAGTTTATAAAGGAGAGTTAAGATACCAAGTTAGAATAACCAGGTGTTGTATGTATTAAGTTTGAGGACTTACATTGTTTTATATCTTTATAATAATTGCCAGTTTTCTCATTAGCAGGAATATCATTCATACTTTTGTCTCCATGTTTACCAGCGTTATTAGTCATATAGTGCTCTTCATGATTGTCTCCATCTGAAGATATCACATTGAGTAGGTCTAAAAAAGCATGACACAACAAAGATCACAGATATGTTGATGTCCTTTTTACTTGCTTTTTTCCCAGTATTTTTCATAAACAACTTGGGTAGATTTAAAATCTAAATGATGGCGTACGTCCAACAAAAAAACTACACCATTCTGTACAAAATGGCCATGTGGCAGTTTTCTGGGATTAAGAGTTATCTTTCCTACCTACTAGTTTCTATGAGCTTTTAAAATTTTACTCACCTTCCATTCCAGGCTTAGAATTGCTAAGCCCTGAGGAAGAAGACCCAAATAAAAATATAAATAATATAACATTCATTGAGAGATTGATGTGGGTTATCCAGCAATCTACTATTTCTCCTCAGAGCGTTCTTCCCGTGGCATGGCAGGAAGTTATCCAAAGACTAACTAGGACATTGTGACACAGCTCTTCCTGGAAGTCAGAATGCTGGGGAGAATTCCCCCAGAGCTTTGTGACTCTATCCTGAGATTATTTCATCTTTGATATTGTGATGGCATTCAGATGGTTTTTTAAAAAACTGCCATAAGATTTTCTATGAAAGTTAAGGAATAGTTTCTGTGAAAGAATATTTTTAGTTCATGGATTTTAAAGAATCATTTTTATTGTTGATAATAAAACAAAAACAGACCTTTGGCTTTAAAAGTTTATAAGATTATATATTCTTTTGGATGCTGCAATCACAGTATGGGTTTGAAACTACTTAGAAATAAAAGATTCAATCCCAATTTTTCCTGCAAATTCTGATTCATATTGAACTACTAAATTCTTTAGAAAAAAAATTTTTAAATTTATTCTTTTATTTTTAAGGCCTATATCCTTCATAAAGCATAAAATATGTATTTTGATTAGTATATTTTTAATCAACAAAACCCATCTTTTTCACATAATGACTTAGAAATGGCCTAGTATTTAGTTGGCCTTAGGTAAAGATGATATTAGGCAGAAGTAAACTTATACAGAGATAATATTAGTCATTTCTTATTCATACAAATTGACTAATAAATAATGACAAGAAACCAAACAGACAGTATTTCTCCTCTCTTTTAAAAATTAATTGTTTATTGGTACAGTACATTTTAAGTATGCCTAATGATCACATCAATCTTAGTGAATTTGTACCTGTTCCTGACATACCTTGATTCGTCTCTTTCTCCCCATTCCCCTACTCACCCCTCAACCCTTCTTCCCCTGCTTATTTACAAAAGTTTTATTTCCAATTTTTCCCTCTTTTCTCATTTTTTCTTTGCCCTTCCTTCACTCTCCCACTCCTCCCCATAGTTCCCCTTTTCATTTGAAGATTTTCTTCCCATTTCACAGTATCTATTACACATTTTAGTCCTTATTTACACTTTCAGTTTCTCACACCAGAGAAACAGTGTAGTATTTACACGTGTGTCTGATTTATTTCACGTAAGAGTATGGTCTCAAGGTCCATCCATTTAGCTATAAACGTCTCAAGTTTATCTTTCTTTATGGCTGAGTAGTACTCCATTATATAAAAAGCACATCTTCTTTATCCATTCATTCGCTGATGGACATTCAGGCTGTTTGCAAAATTTTGCTATTACAAACTGTGCTGCTAAAAACATGGGTGTGCATATATTGGGGTGGTATGATGCTTGTAATTCTTATGGGAATATACCAAGAAGGGGAATAGCTGGGTCAAATGGATCCTCTAGTTTCAGTGTTTTGAGGAATCTCCACACTGATTTCCACAGTGGTTGCACCAGTCTACACTCCCACCAACGGTGGAGAAGGGTTCCTTTTTCCCCACTGCTCACCAGCATTTGTATTGGTTGATTTGTTGATAATAGCCATTATTTCTGGAGTGAGATTCTCAGTATTGTTTTAATTTGCATTTCTCAAATGACCAGTGATATTGAACATTTTCTTGTATATTTATTTGCCATTTGTATTTCTTCATCTGAGAAATGTGTATTCATCTCAGATGCCCATTTTTGGACTGGGACTTTGAATTTGGCGGGGAGTGTGAGTTTTTAAAAATCTTTGTATGTTCTATATATAAGTCCGTTGTCTGAGACAATTGGCTAAAATTTTTTTCCCATTCTGTGGGTTGTCTTTTCACTCTGTTGGTGATTTCTTTTGATGTACAAAAGCTTTTTAATAAGATGAGATCCCAATTGTTGATTCTTTGAAGTGTTTTGCCTGCAGTTTTGTTTTTGTTCATGGACTTTTTGCCTAGACCTGTATCAATATTTCTATGTACAGTCTCTTTGAGTAGATTTAGTGTTTCTGTTTTCATATTTAGACCTCTGATCCACTTTGACTTTAGTTTACTGCGTGGTGATAGACATGGATCTAGTTTTAGTCTTCAACATATACAGAGCCAGTTTCTCCAGCACCATTTATTAAAGAGACTATCTTTCTTCCAGTGAACATGTTTGGCCCCTTTGTCAAAGATAGGTGACTGTGTTTGTAGTTGTGTCTGCATCTTCTAATCTGTTTCACTGATCCTCAGGTGTGTTTCTTGCCTATACCATGCTGATTTTATTATAGTAGCTTTGTAGTGTAATTTCAAGCCAGGGATTGTGATGATTCCTGCATTGCCTTTGTTGCCCAGAATTACTTTTGCTATTTTAGGTCTCCTCTGCTACAGTGAGTTTTAGGGATGTTTTTTCTAGTTCAGCGAGGCATGCTAATGTGATTTTGATAGGGACTGCATTTAATTTCTACACAATTTTGGAAGTGCGGCCCTTTTTTACTGTGTTGAGAACCAGCTCTTGTACTCAGTGATTCCTGTGACATTTTCTTAGTCTCCATTCCATTAATTTCTGCCCTGGTCTTTGTAGCTTCCTCCCTTTTATGAGCTTTGAGCTTGATTTGCTGTTCTTTTTCTAAAAGCTCAAGGTTCAACACTACATTATTTGTGCTCATACTGTTTTCCTGATATGGGAATTCACTGCTATAAATTTCCCTCATAGGACTGCTTTCACTGTGTCTCATAAGTTCTGATATGTTGTCACTTAAATGTACAAACTGTCTAATTTTTCTATAATTTTGTTTGTGGCTTATTGGTTATTCAGGAGAGTGTAATTTAATTTCCATGTGTTTATGGAGTTTTTGTGGTTTTGTTTGCCATTGATTTCCAATTCAATTGCACTATGATCTGATAATGTGCATGAGATAGTTTCAATTCCTTTGCATCTACTTAAGCATATTCTATCAGTTAGTATGTGATCTATTTTGGAGAATGTCCCTTGTGGAGCTGAGAAGAATGTGTATTCTGATGTGGGGTGGAACATTAAGTCCATTTGTTCAAAAGTTTGGTTCAGTTCTATTGTTTCATTGTAGTTTTTTTTTTTTTGTCTAGTTTAATTGTGACAGCAGGATATTTAGTTCTCCTTTTACAATTGTATTAGTGCTTATTTGATTTTTCATGTCCATTAATATTTCTTTTATGTAAGTGGGTGCACTGGTATTTGGTGCATAAATATTTATGATTGTTATCTCTTTATCTTGGATTGTTCTCTTTGTAAGGATATAATGACCTTGTTTTGTTTGCCTTAATCAGTCTTGGTTTGAAATCCACTTTGTCTGCAAATAGAATAGCTACCCTAGCTTTTCTCTGGATACTATCCCATTGAGTATTTTTTTCCATCCTCTGACTTTCAATCTATAAATTTCTTTTTGAATTAAATATATTTCTTATATGCAGAATATTGTTGGCTCTTGTTTCTTGATCAACTCTGCCAGTCTGTTTCTATTGATTTGTGAATTGAGACCATTACCAGTGATGGTTGTAACTGATATATTGACTGATCCTTGTCATGTTATTTTCCTGTTGCTAGCTCCCACTAATCAGTTGTTCTTCCCGGTGTCCCATAACTGAGATTTCCTGAGTGTCATAAAAAATACTACAGGCCAGTGCCAAAGACCAGAGGCTCAGCCAAGTAGGCAATAACTTCTCATCCTCAATCAATCAAAGAGGTAGGATCATGCCACAGACTCAAACCAAAAAGCCAGTTACACCTCGCTCTGAGAAGTAGACTTTTCCCGCAGGTTCTAAATATGACCAATAAAGCTACTTGCCATAAGCAATTTACAAGTATCAACCTAGGCATTAAACTAAAAATAAAATAGAAAGTGAGAAGACACTTAAACAAGATGCAAACCCAGGCTTTCAGCTTACCAAAGGCAAACACAAGGGGCAATGAAGAGGAACAATTTGAAAGCCACCCAGCTGGACTCTCTGAAGTGGTAACAGCAAAAGTAACAAATCAGATGAATGAGGCTCTAGAAAAAAATCACATCAGAAAAAATTTCTCAGATAACTACACAGATGGTGAACATAACAGAAGACATGCTTAATAACTCTAGAGCAGGTACAGACAAAAAAAAATAGAGGAGCTTAGGAAAATGATGGAAACCATCAATGCCCAACATAGGGGAGAAATGGAATCCATGAAACAGATTCAAACAAATATCCAAGAGATTAAAAATTCCGTTGAAAGTATATGCAGCATAATGAGCCAATGTGAGGACAGAATTTTAGATATAGAAGACAAGCTTAAGGTTAGCAATTGTGAAAAGAAAGATTTCTGAAAAATAACAAGGGACTATGGGAAATCAATCCCTTGGCTAAAGTAGTACAACTGGCAATAAGAATAGCATCAAATACAGCCTAGAAAAATGACAAACGGTGATAACTATTAATCTGCCACCTTTAGCCATCTGAACTAGATTTGCAGTTATATAACAAAATCTAAAAGGATACAGAAAATCATGGGCAGTAAAAAAGCCCTCAATATGGTGATTTTTACCTTCAGGGGAGAACATTTAAAAGGAATTGGAAGAAAAAACAGAAAAATGGAAGAAGAGGAAGAAATTAGGAACAAGGCTGGAGGAAAAGGAAGATCACCCAAACATTTGGAAACTTATGAAGAGGATGAGAGGGAAGGAGAGAAGGGGAAAAAAAGAACAAAAAGAACAATAGCCACAAAAACTAGAAATGTGTTCATGCAAACATAAAAATAAGAACTATGAAGAAAAAAACAAAGTGAAGCAAACAAAAAAACAAGGGAGGAAAATAAGAAAAAAAGTCCACTTCAGGATGTGTTTCTCCTATCACTGATAGATAATGTGGGCAGACAAAGTCCAGATCTGAGCTGATTAACCTCAGTAAGCCAATTGTAGCTGAGCTTACAGCTCCAGCAAACCTGGACCGTTAGTTTCACTGAAGTTCAGGCGGGTTTCTGGCGATGAGGCTGCAACCAGATATTTTCAGCCTGCAACAGTCTGTGTCTCCTGAAGGCTTGAACTTGGCTCTGTGCCAGTTTGAACTCAGCTCCTTGACCTCCTTGAACTTGGCAGCCTGACCCTGTCACTGGGAGCCAGTAGATGGAGCCAGTCTGCAGCTGTTATGAGTTCTGAGCTCAGTTGGCCCCT